TATGAATTTTTCCCATATAACTGAAACAATATCTAAAAATCAGTTAACTTTTAAAAAAAATTTTCAGTGGCCCTAATCGTCTTCCGTACAGCTGAGTTTGGTTTTACTGTAATATCTGTGATTAGAGAGGCGGGGAAACCAGGTGTTGTTAAGAATAAAGCTCCGCCCACTTTTACCTTAAATGTCCATGACTCAGAATTCTGATTGGCTGCAGACTCGCTGCGGTTACTTCCACGGTGAGACATGGCGGAGTTTGTAGTCAGTTTTTACAGTTTTCAAAATGCTTAAAGAGCTACAATTCCGGCTGACTTTCCCCCCGTAATACACCAGGGGCCAGTTTGAAGTAGCGGGGAGTTGTTTTTTATTTATTTTTTTCCCTCGAGAAGGACGGAGCGGCGGGCATCGGACTGGGAGAAAAAGAAAATGTGTTGTCATCTTTGCTCAGTCAACAGCCTCAGGCAACAAATATGGCTTCTACTTGTGTATCCTTCTTTTCGGGTTGAAAACCGTCCCGACTGGGCTATACGGAGCAGTTTTCAGCGGCTTGTTTGAACACGGAGAGAGACTTCGGGCTGGGAGAAGGAGGAGTAGGAGGAGGGGAAGATGGAGCTCCAGCATAAAGAGTTGTTGGAGAAATGCTACCAGAACTTGGTGGAGTCCATAACGGACGCGGACCGAGTTGTGGACGTCCTGGCTCACCGTGGGGCCCTGAGTCAGCCGGAGCTGCTGGAGTTGGGACACCAATGCGTCTCCGGCTCCGAGAAAGTGGACCTTCTTCTAAAGATCCTGATGAGCAAGGACAGGGACTGCTTCGCGGAGCTTTGCGAGGCTCTGGAGGCGACGCACCCTCACCTGAACCCCCTGCTGCTGGACGGCGTTGGCCCAGTGGATCACACCACCGGTAAGAAATACTTAGAACCGTGTAATAAGCTGCTAGAAACGGTGAAAGTTCATTAAAAAAATTATCATTACAAAATCAGTGGGGAAAAAAATCGAACACCCTGATAAAGGGCATTATTTCCCTTCTGGCCACAGTATAATTGATTTATACCCTCGCACAGTTATACATGTTACAATTATTATGTCACTAAAAGCTTCCCTACCATTCCCATTGTAAAAGCTACTTAATGGGCCTAAAGGAACTAGATTCAAACAATCAATACAGGGACAGGACTGGCTGAATAGTGTCTTTGTCAGGGAATCAATCACCCCACTGTCAAAGTCAAATGAATGAGCTTAAAAGGAAATGTGTGGAGGACATTGGTTTATTTATTCTTCAATTGAATTCATGCAATAAATGATGGGTTTGTGTCCCTGAAAATATGTTTAATGCTCTGAAACTCTTTGCCATACAATTTGCAATATACTTTATATAAACCAGTGGTGGTCTATACTGATGAAGTTGATCTAAAATGATTGTTTTTATTGTTTGCAATTAAAATTAAGCAAAATGTAACTGGCATTGGTATACAACCCCCCCAATACTCTGATACCGCTAAGGTACCCTTGTCAGATGAGACCTTAATTGAACTTAACAGGCCTAAAGCTTCTGCCACCTTGAACCCAAGTCGGCTTCGGCAGATGGCCGCTCACACTGAGCCTGGTTCTGCTGGAGGTTTCTACCTGTTAAAAGGGAGTTTTTCCTCTCCACTGTCGCTACAAGCATGCTTAGTGTGAGGGATTGCATCCGAGTCAATGAGTCGATGCAATCAACTGGTTTTCCTTAGATGGAAAACTTTGAATCAATTTGACTGTATGACCTGGCGAACTGTAAGGTGCCTTGAAATTACATGTGTTGTAAATTGGCGCTATATAAATAAACTGCATTTAATTAAATAAAAAGAGGGTATAGGTGGTCAGTGCTGATAGGAAATCTAGGTATGTAACACTTATGTTGGTGAGATGTAAATATTGAAACCTTTTACACAGAATATTCACAACTAGAAATGCACTGATCATTGCTTTTGTACCCCGAAATGCAACTGTTTAGATAAAGATAGTGTCTTTTTATTAGATTCAGTAAAGGTTTTTTTTTTTTAAGTAAAAGTGGTAGCAAGAGATCCGCACACATAAAACTCAATCAAAATCGAAGTATGCATCATATCCATGTTCATAGGACGGATTAGAGCAGATTTTTGTAATATTGTGATTGGAAAAGGATTTAACTTACAGGTATTAGAAAATAATGGGCAGAGAGTGAACAGGGGAAGACACACGGCAGAAAATTCAAGGTTTGGAATCGTATTAAAAAAAATATGAAGAGCCTGTTACATCAAACCAAACTTTACTGACTCTTTCTGCCTTTTCAGATCTCAATTTTTAGAGCTGTGCCCTTCAAGTCTCAGCTTGATTTTATTTTAATTTTTTTACCAAAAAACTAAAAATAACTAAACTTTTACTACATTTTAACAATGACTGAGAGAGCACATCTTTAAGTATTGTGTATTCCACGCTTTAAATGCTTTAGCTCTTTCCAATGCTCCACACTGACTATTTATGAATAAAACCATAAACAAATTTTTCTAAAAATAGCTGCATCTGGAAACTCTATGTAAGCTTGAAAGTTTTTGATCTATCTCCCATTTCTGTTGCCTTCAGCAGCATAATTCACATAGGTACGTGTTCCTTGCTCAGCAGTCTACCTCACTGCATCTGGTCAGAAGATAAAGTATTAACACCGCTAGATGCTTAGTTCAGCTTAATCTTTTGATTTAGGATCGGTAAAGTAATTTGCAAGATTCTAAAAGGATATTGTAGTTACACATCGACATAATTGTATAATAACTACAGATGTTTTTTTTTGTTTTTTTTTCTCACTGAGGCTGTGTTAATGTGCCATGTGACAAAATATGTGTGTGCAGTGATGCGTTGAGGGATCGTTAAGGGAACCCAGAACGCATCACAGCTCAAGAGAGCACGTGCTCTAATGTGCATCTTTCTGTTGGTTGTCACATAAGCTGCAGATGTGCTAAGGTAACCTCTCCTACTGGGCAGACAGGTTCCTCCACTGCAAAAACATGGGCCTTTCTTTTGGAAAACCAAAGCCTGTTATCATCAGAATATCTGAAACATTTTAGATGAATCACAAAACAAAATCCCCAAAATGAATAAAATAAGGACAACTTTTAAACCCTAATCTATGAGATGTTTAGTGAGGTAAAAAGATTGAAATATAATGCACATACCTGTATAATCAACTTGGTTTTTTTTGTTTTGCAATTGGTGTAGGGTTTACAAGTAGAACCCTTATTGTTTATGTGTTGTTCCTACCTTTTCATCAGGAACAATGACTTGATGGTAACAGATTATCAGGGTGTGTATCATGGCTTGGGTATTATGTTGGTTTCAAACTACAAAGAAGAAAAAACCTGGGATTATTTTCAACAGAATCTGTGATCGTGATCTATTTTGTTTATGAGGTCTCCATTACTGAACTTCCTTACAAATTTAATCTTTAATGTTAAAATATTATAAGTGAGAGCTGTGGTTCTTGTATTTTATAATATCATCATCTTTCTAAATTAGGCTATAAAAAAGACGTCTTTTTATGGCCCTGTAACTGCTTCACATTTTGTCTCTTTACAACTACAATCTTTATTTCTTTTATTGTTATTTTAATGTGATAGACCAACAGAATGCAGGGCAACGTTGTGCTATAATGGAAGTAAAAAAATCTTTATTTTTACCAATTCAAAGCTTAATAGTGTGGAGTGAATTTGTATCCAGCCTTCCTGTCCCTACGGGGAGATCTGGCCAGTGTTCCTTTCTCTGCTGAAGAAAGGTCTACATTCAGCATTATGCTGTCAAAGCTTTATTTCATTATGAGGAGTACTTTTAGTTTTTTCCAATAAACAGATAGTTTTACAAAGGGGTAAAATAAATAATATTTGAATAGGGCTGAACAATTTCACGAAAAATCTAAACTGAAATTAATTATTTTAACCAACATTGTGATTTATCCTCTGCACTAACCATAAGCATTTATTTATGCATTTGTTAATCCGGGTTCTCATTGTGTTCATGACCTTGAAGGCTTGCTGATACAAAATCCATTGTTGGATCTAGAATGTGACCAAAATCTGATATTGGAAAATTAAATTAGATCACAATTATATTCCAAATGTAATTAATTCATTTAGACCTTATTCTACTAGAAATCCTTATTCTACAATCCCAGATTTCTACTTCTAATTTTCTTACAACAATGGTTTCCTCTTTGCCATCTTCTCCGTAAAGACCGTTTTTTAGGAAAGAAGTTCAAGTAAAAGGGATACATTGGCACTGTGAGATAAATGATAATTCAGCATTCAGAACTGTTATAATTGTTATGCATTAGTTATTTTCTGTTTCTTATCTTGTTTTCTATTGGTATAATGGAAATTGCTTTATATATATATTCATTTAGTGTGAAACATGCTAAAATGTGACTGCATCCTAAAACTACTGATCCCAGAGTTTGGTAGATCACTGATGTTAAAAACTAAAATAATCCACTTGAATCTAAAGGCTAAAAAGCAAAGCAATTGTTTTTTAAGACTTTATAAAACCACCCTTTCCTTTTGCTATTGTAGTTGCAAATATTTTAAATCCATTTGGGATATTTCACGGTATAAATAAAACTCACTCAAACATTTTGCCTACCCTTGACTGTAAATGATTAATGTGATTTTTTTTTTTTTTTTGTCCAGCATGAAGTCATTAATAATTTCTTTTCATAAAATAACAATTGTGTGTTTGTTGACAGAAGTGCACAGTGCTTCATAAATGTAACATAAGTTGCCTAAAATCTGAAAGCTAAAATGTTTTTACTCAGCTCTTTGTTACTTGGCTTAGATTGCTTTGCAAAAGTGGTAATACCCCTTTAACTCTTCTATATTTGTCACACTGCTATAGACCAACTCTAAGTACCTCATAATTGTGAAATAGATGGTAAACATGCATAGTTTTTAAATGATAATGAAAAGAATTGTGTAGCTCCATTTATTATAGAATTGCTAAATTCAGTCCTGTGCAATCGGATGCCTTGATAGGCTCCTGAGTGTTTATTCACACGTATTAAACTGCCAGACTGCTTAAAGACAGCATAACCTGAACTCCTTATCCCTATGGCAATGCATAGCAGGGGCCGCTTTAAGCTGTGGATATGATTTTTATTCAGCAGGGAGAGGGGAGCTAAAACGAATTTTATTTTTTAACATGAAAAATAGCTTTAAATGTCGGCTAAATCTGACACTGGACCGATGGATGCAGGGCGTCCCAAATACAAAAACGCTGGAGCTAGCCGATGAGTTTTATATTTTTGTTGTACAAATGGTTCAACACCATCTGTATCTTCTTCTCTCATAGCTGTACACAGCAGCAAGGTAAGCTGTTTCATAATCACAGACCTAAACGGGTGTAGGAAAAAATATTGAAGCAAAGCTTGGTCACATCAGAGACTTTTGATCAAATACAATACAAAAGAATAAAATAAATACCTTAACAGTATTTTTATTTCTGTTGAAACAGAAATGGAAAGCTGGATATATAGCCTTAGTTTATCCAATGTTATTTTTTTTTTTTTTATGATATTTTGTAAAAGGTAAAATAAATTATTTTCTCTAAAAGTACTTTCTGTTAGGAAATGTCTGCCTTTTTATGGTCAGCTGGTACGAAATAAAATGGGGCTGAAACAATTCATCAAATGAACTGTGATTAGTCGATTATTGAAATAATCATTAACTAATTTGTTAAGCAATTAATTGTTACTGGAGTCTAGAGACTCTTAAACATGCCTTTAGCTGGCAGAGCGACTGTTTATTAATGCCTAAATAACTTAAAATGTTGAAACCTTCAGACAAAATATGTTAGCTTTTATTATCTTGGTGCCTGCAGTTTATACCACATACATGAAAAAACGCTAACATCTACTCCCATCCACCAAGGACAAAACCCCCCAACTGCTGCTGGGGATTCCCAGTGACAGCACACTGCTGGTGCAGCTCTGAAAGCAAAATTATATTTTAAGCCAGGATCCTAATCTTGATGAAATGACTGCACAGATGATGTTTTGAGGTGGGCTTTCTCACATAAAATACATTAAAACTTCTTTTTTACCCCACTGATCACATCAAATATAGCAAAGCCACTCTCTGCCACTGAACACAGGAGCATCTGTATACATCTGACCTTGTGTACAAGCATCAAAAATGAAGTAGCAGATGCTGTTTTGCAGCTCAAATCATGGAGAGAATGTAGCATTACACTTTCTGATTGTTTGAATTAATCTATGAAACCTAATATCGTTCCACGGCCAGGACGAAAACCACACTGCTCCTCCTGCAGCCGAGGTTCGACAATCAGCCGGACTCTCCTCTCCAGCACCCTGGCATAGGCCTTTCCGGGGAGGCTGAGAAGTGTTGTGCTGCCCTGTGGGGGGGTGCTCCAGGAGTATGGAGTCGGGGGCCCTTTATTAGGGGCCATCCGTTCTCTGTACAATCGGAGCAGGAGTCTG